TGTGACCTGCCATGCTATGACTCTGGATTCTATGTGACCTGCCATGCTATGACTCTGGATTCTATGTGACCTGCCATGCTATGACTCTGGATTCTGTGTGTCCTGTCATGCTATGACTCTGGATTCTGTGTGACCTGTCATGCTATGTTCTTTTCATACCTTCACCTATGATTAATGGTGCCTTCAGACTGGGGGCCAAATAAATCCCTCCCCCTTTTTTTTTCTATATTGTTTCTTGTCAGATTGTCACAGCCGTGGGAAAATGAACAATACACTATGTGAGAAATCCAGTTACCCTGAGGCTGACATACTAAGAGTAGGCCCCAGCTAGCCAGGTTTGACAGGTCATGTAGGAAATGAGGGAGAGATAAAAAGGAGGATAAAGTAACTGGAACCTGAGGATGGGAGGAGGTAGAGAGCTGTGCATGTTGACCAAGCCCCCATATTTGCACAGTTTCACAGAAAACCCAAACACATGAGAGCTGTGCACATGGGTCAAGCCTTGAAGTTTAAACAATCTCACCAGAAAACAAACAAACAAACGTGTTTCCACCAAGCCCACAGGTGATTCAAGGCTCTGTCATCATCTCCCTCTTGCTAATTGAGAAGAGCCAAATCAACAGCATCTGACTTAGCCCTTTGCACCCATTAATCATTAAAGGTAAGAATTAATTACCTCCGTCATTGTTTGTGGTTTTGTGGTCACATAATTACAGTAACAGCAAGGAATAGCTTCTAATCATCTGCTATTAAAAGGGCACTTTAAAAAGATAACATTTTCTTTATTTAGACTTGCCCAAGATGAAGATGTAGTTGGTCAATGTACAACTGTTTGTTTCCTTCGTCACAATTCCTGTCTAGACAGTTCTAAGGAACAATTTTAATAGAGTTAATGTTTACAAACTACTTTCCAAATTTTGAAAATTTATATATGTAATAATTTTATTTTTAGAAAATATTCATTTTGATTTGCAGATGGTATTTCTACAACAAAGGTACAATATTATTATAACCCATGCTATTCTCATATCAGTGACAGATCATAGATAACTATCCATGCATATTTGTTTATGTATGGAAATACAGACCTTAATGTACTCATTTATCAGCAAAAACATTATCCTACATCCCTGAGAGATTGTAACTCAGATCAGAAAATTGGAATCAAGAGATTCAATTAAGTGCAGCCTCTTTGTGAGGAGGGAAACCAAGGTTTTACTTTAAAACAAAAAGAATATTGCATGTTATATCAGAACACAGAATTAAATTCATTTCTCTCAGAGGACAAGTTCAGATTTAATAAAAATAAATGTGGCTGCTCATTCATTCAGAGAAACACACTCATGTTCCTATAGATGCTTTAGTAAAGAGAACACTAACCTAATTATAATATTAAAAAATAAATTTTCTTAGTGTTTGGTAGAAAATAAAACAACCCAGCTGCAGGGTCTGCAGAGCCTCACTTATTAAAGAAGAACCATTTGATGGTTAAGGGAGGCAGAAAAAAATGAATGCTCTCACAAAGGTCTCCTGGATGGAGAAGAATTTCAAAAGGCCAGAGAGCAGTCACTGGGGGAAAATGTGTAACTTTGGCTTCCTTCCATTTGTAGAAATGATAGTGGGAAGGCTCTGAACATAGAGGAGAATACATGAAGGAAGAATATTTGTTTCCTCTAGAAAGGAAACACAAACATTCCTTTTTGGCACAGAACTTATATACTTACCACCTTTTGGGTGAAAGGACTTAGTCACTGTCACAACTCTGAAGAGATGCTTCCTAAGTCTGGCTTTTCCCCAAGAAGAGGTGTCTCTTTACCTGGTTCACCATTGTGGGATTATCAGGACAGTAACAACAAGGAAATTGTCTAAGGCTTCAGTTGAATTTTTGTTGGTTTGTTTGCTTTTTGTTTTAATTGATTTATGTTTTGTTGCTATGACACTGTGGTTTGAAAAAGAATGGACTCCACAGGTTCTTGTATTTGAGTGCCATAATAAATCCTTCCAACAAATAGTTTTGAATTCTACATAGTATGTAATATGAAGTAAAGAAACTAAGAAAAATGAAAATAAACTGCTGTTCCACTACAAGGATAACTGTGTTAAATGATGCTCTCAGATACTCCTTTAAATAATTTCTAGAGGGAGCATTTGCTGTACAGGTATCTATGGAAATTCAGTAGGGAGTCCATATTGTGCCTCACAGGAACCTGGGAAGAGATGTGCAATGTGTAGGTATATCAAACAAATTCAGTGACAGGCTCCAGGCTCAGCAGTAATTAGCTCACCCAAATAAGAGTCCATGACTTTAGCTTCCTTCCTTCCTTCCTTCCTTCCTTCCTTCCTTCCTTCCTTCCTTCCTTCCTTCCTTTTTTCCTTCCTTTCTTCCTCCCTCCCTCCCTCC